AGAGGAATACTGTAAAAGGCTACAGACAATAAGACAATGAGACAAAAAAAAAAAGCCGTGTCTGAAAATATAGGACACCTGTTAAACCTTGCGCTAACAGTCACTTCCTCTAATTCAAGCACCATGCAAGATATTAAATTTTTTCATTCACGTTTTTACTCGAGGAAAAAAAAAGCGAGAAATTAACCCTTTCATTTATCGCGAATGCAGCGTTCTCTCTAGCTTTCCTCGGAGGGTGAATGGCACTGCAAGTGAAAACAATATTTGCATTCAGAAAAAATATGCATGCCTATGGAGTCAGTTTTCTCACAGCTTTTGCATTTCGCCGCTCTGCATGGAACTATAGCATGAATGCGCGTATATAGAACGCAGCAGCGTGATCATGAGTGGAGGGCGATAAAAAAAATCCCGGTGATTTCCTCCGACGCCGATAATATTGAGAGATAGACGTCGAGGGACAATGCATTGAGGGAGTTGGTGACAATAGAGAGCAAATAAAAACAAATGAAATAGCAGGCTAACGTCTCGTTTTAGCCATGCCATATGCAATTGTGCAAAGGAAATGCAGCGGTGCTGGTCAACCAACCTGGAATATCACCTCCACGTCTGTTGGAAGGGAAAACTCATATCAACGGCGTATAATTTTACATGAATTGTATGTTGGGGTGCTAAAAAAAAAACGATAAAGCACGTCTATCTTTGCCGTAGTGTCAAGCTTGACATAACTGTAGAGCAAAAAAAAAATGAGATAATTTCATTTAGGTTATTGTTTTTCATGACATCGTCATTTTCTGGTAGGGCTGACGTAGCAGACGGAAATACTTGCGCGTGTAACTGGTGGAGCACGGTCAAGATGGATGTTTTAGGAAGGGTCAATTACAGCGCCAAAAAAAAAAAAAACGAGAGTTCGTCTTTATTACAATATTACAGTGAATATACTAAAATCGACAGTACGTAGGTTTAAGTGGAACTGTTTTTTTTTCTGTTTAGGTGGAAGCCAAACACAAGCTTGGATTTATCGAGGCTTTAAATGTCGAACATGCATGTTTAAATGAAAGCTCTTGTGAAACTCTGAGGCCAATAAGACTGAAAAAAACCGCACGAAGGAAGAAGAAGTTGGATGTTTATATTCCATCCTTTCCACCATGCGATAATCTTGCAGTTCAACAACCTATGCCAGTCAGTAACATTTAACAAGTTCAAACGTTAAATATATATATATATATATATATATATATATATATATATATATATATATATATATATATATATATATATCAGCTTGTGGGTCATTAGTGTGGAAACTTTAATTGCTGCCTCGTATACCAGAAAAAGATGTTTGTCTATATGTTTCAAACCACCAGGCCAGATGATAAGGTACTCGGCCTGACCGTGTGCACGCATTTAATGTGCCACCACACACTCTTGGCAGCACTTATACTGCCCTGGAACTCATTCCGCTCTCACTTACCCCGAAACTCGTATCTCGCGGACATTAAATTTAGTTGGAAAAGAAAGCTCCCCTTCTCTCGGGCCCGTGTTAGTCTCCGCATCGTGAATGCAATGTCTCGCCTTCATAAATCTTCTTCCAGCTCGCGGATGTGTGCGAGACTCGTTTCGTGAATCACTGCTCCCGCGCTTCAAGCTGTTGATCAATTCGTCTTTGTGCTGTCAGCTGGCAGCGTTCTCGTTAACTTGGTCTCTAAAGCAATTACCCTGGATATCTGATGGTGCCGGGTTCCATGTCCCATCCAGGCTGAGGCAAATCACAGCTCGACTGCGAAGCTCCTTCCCCGAGAAATGTGTGTAGTTTCACTCGAGGCTTACCCCCGTATTCACAAACGCTCCTCGACACGACTTTCACCCTTAACTTGACATATTTGAGCACTGCACCGCTGCTCGGCTGAAAATGACGCTGCGCTGCTCGAGAATCGCACCACGTTATCGTTGATATGCAGTGGCATGCCGCGCCTAGAGAGGGCGCTTCCATCGGCTTTCTCAAGTGAAGGTGAAGCGTTGAGTGAAGGCACGTTCTAAAATACGGAGGTTAGTTCTCGTAACGGCGTGGATATTCGACGCTGCTGCGAGTAAACTTCTACCGCTACAGCTCGGGAGCTGCGCAGTACTCAAGGAATGAGACGCGAAGAGTGAAAGATATATCAGTAATTCACGCGATTTCGTATCAAGCATCCACATTTCGTGTCACCAGAGATGTGGAAAGCAGATGTGAACATAGCGCTTACTGTCACTAAAAGTGCTAAAGATGTCTGGCTACGCCCTTGGCGTTTTGTTCACAAAGCTAGCACCGCAAAATAACACGTTCACTGTTTTCCCTGGCATCCATGCATGAGGGGACAGTAGAACGTCTGAAAAAACAACAACAAAAAACTCGAATGTTCAAGTTTGTGTTGAAAAAAAAATGGCAGCATATCCACGGGGTGAATGATGGAGAGTCGGGCGAAGCCTCCGTCCGTCCATTCGTTCTTGCTTCCGTCCGTCAATGCGTCCGTCTGTGTGACCGTCCGTATGTCCATCCGCCCGTCCATGCGTGCGTCTGTTCGTGCGTCCGCACGTATATCCGTGCGTCCGTCACTGCGTTTGTCCATGCATCCACCCCTGCGTCCGTCCATGCATGCGTCCATTCATTCGTGCAGCCATCCGTGCAGCCATCCGAGCGTCCGTCCATGCATCTGTCTGTGTGTCCGTTCGTCCACCTATTCAACACTCCAAGTACCACCATCTCGCATCTTTTCATTATATATGCTTCATATAGAAGCACCGCCATCCAGTGGACATTCCAAGGACTAAACAAGAGGTGGCACACGCACACTTTCTTACGGCTTGCGCTTCGTGTCAACTTCCCACCTTTAACCACCTCGAGTTCATGGTATATACTAGTTCACTGTATTCATGGCACTCCGGCCCAACGCTTGCTAAACCTTCCTAAAACCAAGAAGGTTACGCCCAGCGAGTATAACGTAGCAACCCTTTCTTGTCAGGTAGTGCTCAATGTACATGGCTGCTAATGGGGAATGAGAGACAGGAGAATTCGACTTTTAGTTAACGCGCACGCTGCGAATTTTTCATTGTTCAACAACGCACAGGAGAAATCTCCCACCGGTACCACCTTGCAGGTCAAAGCGTAAAACTGGTCACGCACTACCACTACGACGAGGGACGAACGGGTGCCGCTTTAAGGAGCTTCGTTTCTGAAAGGGAATACTTCACTGAACGTATCACTTTGGGAACTATATAGAATATTTTCTGTATTTGGGCGCCGCCATCTTGTCCGCTGTTTTCCTAATTGCTTTTGTATATCGCGATGGCCATAAAACGTACGCACCAACGCATCCGTTTTCATGCGTATGCGTCTACTGTAACACTGTTATTTCGCTTTATTAAAATGCAAAACACGATAATTGACAGCCCAACATGGTGGCACTCAAGCCCATTCGTAAAATAGTTTATATACCATGCTTGTTGTAGGAGAGAAAGGAAACGCTACCCTACGTGGTCGTTCTGATAGCTGAGCGTGTCACCCCCGACGGCAACGCAAGCGTAAGTGGGCTTTCGACTTTCCCAGACGTAATTCTTGTTCAACAAAAAGTAAACAAAAAGTACAAAAAAGTACGCGAGCTATGCTTTACTGCCCTACTCATTGTTCAGAAAACGATGTTCTACTAGGAAACACAAAGTGGCCGTGGAAGTGGTGCACATAAACATCATCTATAAAATTAGTCGTTCGTATTAAAGAAAATCATTATGTTCGTATTACGTTCGTATTATAGAAAAACACCATTTTCCCAGACTCACTTAGATATGGCTCTGTCTGCATAGTATTACAATGCGTTAGGTCTATGTACACTGTTTCGAAACACCACGTAGGAGTGGCACTAGAGATACAAGATAAGGTTTCATCGAATGATAACGACACGTTAGTGTCGTTATCGGGAATTGATAGGAAAAAAAGAAGGGGGGGGGGGGAGAAGAAAAAAAGGTGCCGCCATATCCGCGAAGTGAATGATGATGAGTGGGCGAAGCTCCGGACGTAAACCTGGTAAACCATGAATCCTCCGTACATTTTGCCTCCTCATTTTTGCCCACTCAGTAACAACGCTCCCCCTAGCGTACGTCGCCGCACTAAATCGAGCGATTGCCTTCCACCAATGACACGCGCCATATGTGACATCAATCCTATTTTATAACATCTCGCATCTTTCATCATCAACTACAAGTACCGCCGTCTAGTTTATAACATCTTGGAACTTTTCATCATCAGCTACAAGTATTGCCATCTAGTGAACACTGCAAGAACAAAACGAGAGGTGGCTACATACAGGGGATGGTACCGTCTATCTAGTGAACACTGCAAGAACTAAACAAGAGGAACTAAACAACAAGGGACGCACAGCCCACGCCTCAAGGAGCTTCGCCCTAAAAAACTTGCCGAGCATAAAAATGTGTAGCTGCTGTACATAAACTCTCAATATAACAATTCAATGTTCAATCTGACAATTAGCTGGCGCCTGTTGGTACGAATTGCTCCAACTCATAATATATTCTTTATTTTCTTGCAAATAAGGGTTGAGGTTTCATGTTACTCTTTAATCACTCGCACAGGCGCAGTGCGCGCAGCCTTAAATTCCAACGAGGAAACCTGTCTTGTGACGTGACTGGTCGGTCAGTCGGTTTCAGCGTGTGAGTTACAGAAATCTATCGTTGCAAAACCGCGCTGACAGTCCTGCCTGGTGCGAGGCTCTTTCAGTTATACAACGTTAGTGGTTCTTTATGCACAAGCCGCCCCCGACCCCCCTCTCGCACGCACACATGCGCGCACGCACAGACGGCATCTATACTTTAACAAAGAAACCAATACTCGACAGGTTGTCGGTTTTCATTTGAACGACACCATGCGAGGGCACCGCCTATCAGTGGTTCGTGGCACCTTATGGAGTCGATGCACAATTGCGCCGGACGAGTAGCGGACAGCGATAACTTACTCCTGAGACAGTGGCGATGAAGAGCACCGCTTTGTTCGCCGTAGTCAGGCCGCAGAAGGGCTGCCACTTGTGAAACACCATGCCGACATTGGCCTTTCGATCGGCACGTTCCTGTTCAAAGGACTCGCGCGTTCCCCACGCAGCCGCGCACACGGATGGCCTGCAGCCCCGACGATGCTCGACGACTGCGCCCTCGACGCTCAGCACAAAGTGGCCGGCTGTATGCAGCCACACCGTCAGACGGTATACAGTTGCAGGTTTTTCACCTCAACCTTTTTTTTTGGTATTTCATTCGTTTTTTTTTGTTTGTCTATAGGGAGGTAAAGGGAGCGCGCGAATGCATTTCAAGGCGTCACGCGAAAGTGAACCTTGGTCGTCATGTTGCTTTTTATTGCGCTCCGGCATGCATCTCCGATTTCAGTAGTGCGATCTCTCCGGAACGAGTGGCTATAACACCAAGCTGGAAAAAAAAAAAAAGACGGGCATTTCTGCAAATTCTGCAAGCGCTCGTGTTTGTTTTTGTGGAATAGCCAAACGGCACAAAAAATAAGTTGCTTATACAGATGCTTCTACAATTATTGACCTGGGAGTATGAGGAACAAGAAACAAACAAATATTGCCAATTGCTAAAGTTTATATGGATGGGTATATAGAACATGCTTAGGGTGTCGAATAGAGGTAGGGAATGCTACTGCATTACTTTTAAATTGTCAATGAAGCGGTAAAGTATAAATAAAGAAAAAAAAGGAACGCTTCCGCAGAAGTTAAATTAGGAGGGGGGTTTCAATATCCATTTTGTCTTTAGATGAAGGAAAGTTCTTCCTTTCTTACTTAAGCCATTAGCACTTTCAAAGGTTTTCAGTAATACCTGTGTGAGGGACTTAGCATTGTGCAATGCAAGATAATTTATGAGCATCATATGGTTAGACTGGGAAAATCACTGCGTTACGTCGTTATGGTACGTACAAATAAACTCTCTTTGCCCCCATGATCATATTCATCACTGTTTTCCACTGTTTCCCCTTTTTTATCTACACAGAAGCCGGCCAGAGCGCAGATGCCCTGGCTGACCTTTCTGCCTTCTTCTAATAAGTTCTATCTATGTTTCGGAGCATCGCACGCCTGAACGTGCACATTGAAATTGATATTGGTCAATTGATACATTGTGTGTGTATGAGTGTGCGTGTGTGTTCCTTGGCGAAATTGGAACATGTATAAAAAAAAGCGCTGGGAAAGTGCCCCAATTTCATTTTTGACGTGGTACAACTCTTCAGATAGTCGTCTGAGCTCCGGAACTCACATGCTGCATAGTTGGAAAAGAAAAGACAAACTGGCAAGCAGGATTACATAAGCAACCTCTTACCGTGCTTTGTTTTTACTAGCCTCACTGTAATTTTTATTTTACATTAAAGACAAAAAATTCTTTCCTTTTTCTACATTCACGTCATTAGAAAAAAAAAACTATTGACTCAAGAAGTTCAAGAGATTATTCTTACGAAGGGTATTAGCTAGCCGGCGTTTGACGGGAAAGCACATAAGAGGTCCATCGACGTCGCTTGCTAATCCCGCGACTTCTGCCCATGTCTTAAGGGCCTCCGTCTTCAAACAGTCAGAGGAGCTTTCTTTCGCCGCAGAGATTGCGAATCTTCGTTGTATTCATCCACTGGAAAGTGCCAAGCACTTTGCGAATGTTAGCCGTCCTTGTAAGGCTTTAGCAGCTAATTTCTGGAAGAGAAATTGAAGAAAAAGAAATTTATAAGACATTTGCGAACTGCTCTGGAAAGCCTACGTCGGTTAAAATCACATTATGGCGCAAAAAAAGACAAAAAAGAGTGCAGCCTCTTTTATTTCAAGCGTCTGGTATGCGAGTAGTGTTTATTTTCAATATGGCAGTACTCAGTAACCTACCAAACTTTTTCATCATTTCGTTGAATTTTTTTTGGGGGGGGGTGACGTTGGACATTGTTAATGTTAGAGTACGTTGACCAAACTACTGCAGATGTAGTTTAGTACAGACTTGGTGGTTTAAGTACCAGCGTGATGCCTCCCCCCATCTCTCCGCCTCCAGTTTTTAAATGCCTGGTGTCCCTTCCTCTAACGACTAGCTAACTGTGAATGCTGGTATTGACCAAGTTTACCTGACATAAATTTGTTGAACAAACTTGAGAGCCAGATCAATCAAGAGAAATGTTTATAGCGAGCTCGTTCACTGAGGTTTCTCCCAAGCACTGTGCCTAGTCTTTTCAGAAACAAGATGTTTTTTTAATATTTGATGCGCATGTACAGTTGTACGGTTTTCACTTCGCTCTTACTTTAACTACAACTGCCGGCTGCAGCTACTGCCCGTCGCAGGCGTATAAAATAGTGCCACCATCACCGAATAAAAGTCATCACGTTTTGTTGGAAAACTTGGCAATTGTACATTTGCCAAAAAAAAAAAAACACACGCGTGCATTACACTCATTTGTATCACTTTGCAGATGACCGCAATGTGGGCGTTCGAACTTGCATGAGCCACTTTTAAAAATTCGATTTCAATTGTTGTAGTGCAGCAAATATCAATTCTAGTCAGATCTATTATCATGACATAAAATAATGTTACAAGGTGTGAAACACACAGACGAAGGTCCCAATGTACAAGACTGCAACCGGCCCCTCTTTTTTGATTACATACAAAAAATAAATAAAACAAGAATTAACAGCTGTTTGAACCGTAAAAAGAAAAAAATCAAGCAATACACAAAGTAGAATGAAAAATAAAAGAGGCATGGAACAAAAACCAACTAATAAATACAGTATAAAGCAACACAAATCTTGTACAAATGAACAAAATATTTCACAAATGTTCTTTAAATGCCTTTTGAATGAAATTAAAGAAGAGAGAAGAAGAGAAGAAAAATATCAGAAAGGTAGGGAGGTTAACTAGACTAAGTCCAGTTTGCTAGCCTACACGGGGGAGAAGAAAATGAGAGAGAAAAAGAGAGAAAGAGGGGAGGAAATACATATTGCACATAACACGCACACCACACACAAACTAAAGATTAAACTTTACGTTTTAGTGATGTGGGTAAACTATTCCATAGTGAGATGGCACACAAGTGTGGACATGATTTACCACGGTTAGTATGAATCTTACAAAGTAAAACGTTATTGTTAGCCGCAGTCCTGCTAGTGTCAGAATTAGTTGAAGTCTCAGGATCAGTGAAATCACCTTACATTTGATTCAAACACTTCCAGTATCTTTACAATGGCTTTATTGTTTTCTATTTACGCCAACTTCACATCATTGATTGGCATGACTGGTCAATTTGCCGCTATTCAAAGAACCATTTTAAGACCAATTTAGGCCACTGGATCTTTGCCGTACCAATATGCATAATGATCGCCGTACCACATAAAGCATTTTACCAATTACACGTCAAACTTATTTGACGTTGCCACTCCTACGGAAATTATGAACACGTCGTTATTTTTTGTCTACGTGTTCGGTATGCGTGCCATCTAGCCAGTTTTTCAGCAGAATTTTTTATGTCATTTTTTTGCTCAATCCATCAACTAACTATCCCATCAACAGCGCCTTGCTTTAGTCAGAATTTTGACGACGAGTCTAAAGTGCACAGACAGTTCCGCGTGAAAAGTGCCCTCTGTCGTAGCAAAATAGCTACAGCTTTTGCTGCTATTGTTGTTTGAAGTGTTTGAACTCTTGTTGTTTGAAGGCGTGGAAAAAGCCCCTTTACGATAACCGCGTATGACATATCACCGGCAATAGATGAACTCGTTTCACCAAACGCACCACGGAATATAGAAATCTGTGGGCAAGCAAGACAATGAGTGGTGGAAATATCTGATGACGACATTGTGATTGTTCCAGTGCAGTTCAGCGCTGTTGGTATTTCTCTTCACTTACTCTTCTAGTCGGCCGCATCGTTTATCGACCCTTATCAGCTCTTATATAAATAAAACAACGACGCTAACAACAATACCGAGACTTACTTATCTTCGTTGCAGCGCGGTAATGAGTCCGAAAATAAGACTGAAAGTGCATATTTTCTGGGTTATGTCTGGTCACACCAGGTTTTTAAAGCGAAAGCTTTGCGGGCCATGTTGTAAGTCGAGCGAACTTCATTCTGTATTTCCGCGTTGCCATCAAGTGAAGAAAGGCAAGCCACGCGAAATTTAGTTGGGGCGTTGCAGTTGTCGCGTTCGTCGGCTTCTCTGTCTACCTCGCATTACCGCGATTCCCTGATGATATACCTGTTAGCACACAACTCGCTCACCCAGACTGAGCAAATCGTTTGGCGCCGACTCCAAGTGGGTTAGAAGGCACTGGGTTCGGGTTAGTTGGTACTGATCCATAACTTTAGTAAGCGCTAAAGGCACGTATATAAAATGAGTGAAAGACTTAAAACAAACGCAACTTTTAATTGAAATTTTAATAGAAAGAAAAACCAAATCGATCGCCCCGCAGTGGTGGTCTAGTGGCTAAGGTACTCGGCCGCTGACCCGCAGGTTGCGGGATCGAATCCAGGCTGCGGCGGCTGCATTTCCGATAGAGGCGGAAATATTGTAGGCCCGTGTGTTCAGATTTGGGTGCACGTTAAAGAACCCCAGGCGGCCGAATTTCCGGAGTCTTCCACTACGGCGTCTTTCATAATCATATGGTGGTTTTGGGACGTTAAACCCCACATATCAGTCAAACACCAAATATAAAGGTGTATATAGCCTCGAGAAAGAAACAAAAAACATGAAAACAAGATATGACAATAAAAGAACAATAAAGAAAGATCGTGCTGTCACTATGCAGAGTTCATTCGCGCCAATACGTGTCCCTGAGAGCATATGCAATGGCACGTGTCTCTAGGTGAACACTTTATTAGACTTCACGCCGATAGCGTCTACATGCAGAAGTGCCAAGGTGCGCATTATGTGACTGTCTCATGCGCACACTCCAAGAAGTTCAGTTCCTCGCTTGCCAATTGTGTTTCATCGTGGTTAGTTCTTTTTCGATTGCCTTGACAAGCAATAAGAAAATGCACTCTGTTCATGCATTTTCCTCTTGGTATTTCGCCACACGAGAGAGATGTTTGGGCATGATTTTGACGAGATTCAATACGATGTTATAGCTGTCGCATTCCCGATTTTATCAGATGCTTCGGGGTATCTTGTTTCCGACTGGCTGCATAGGCAACTTTAAGCAGGAGTACATGCGGTTCTACCGGGCGTGCGCAGCATAACACGAATGGGCGAAAACTGG